AAGTGTTGACCAAAACACTGCAGAGTACAAGTGCCATTTATGTGACCAAATATTACATAACGCAACTCAAAACACTCACACGTGTCAGAAGGGTCACAACAAACATCCCCTGTAGTGCGTGCTGAGTGTTAGGTACTGACAGGTGAGATGTCGAAGGAGAGATTGAGAGCAAGAGAACAGAACAGAACGATTTCTGTGCGAGGACACGATTACTGTGCACTCACGGAGTTACCAAAAAACTGACACGTGAGGTGAAAAAGGGCAAGATTCAGACAATCTGAAGACATGTGCATTAGCAGAATAATACAGTCAATAGACGGTGATAATGAGAAGCAAGAAATACTGCTGATTTTCTATGGGACCGCAAAATCACTGTTAAGCACTGGGTATGCTTATTTGTGACTTATTGCAAATCTTCTCTATGGTAACCCCATATGCTGACAATAAGCCCATTGGCTGGAATATCTGAGACCAGAACTGATGAACACGATAGAAAGGTTCCGCTCATGGTATAGTGTGTGATTACAGCTGCCTTTGGATTCATGGCTTAACAAAATAGGCAGAAAACTCATAACTGGTTTCCCACTGGGCCTGTGCTAGTCGACCTCACTAATAAAACCCGCAAAATTAGGCATGTCTGAAGTAGATGTACAAATAAAAGAAACATGATCAGTAACTCATCTTCATTATTGTTGATGTTGGCCATTGCCATTCTGATTTTCAGTAAATGCTGTTAAATAGGAGGGTTGTTAAGTTTCATTCACAAAATAAATAGCTTTCGAACTCTGCCATTGTGCCCCCTGCTGGTCACGTAGCCCAAGCCAATTTCCTCGTAACAAATTGAATTCTGCTCCTCACCTAATAGCTGCTCATTATGTACCACGGAAGCATTAAGCTGAAAAATGTGTGTTCGCTTGCCGCATAGGGGACAGAAAGCCGTATTTCATATTGTGAGCAGGGATCTCTCTCATAATGACAGCGGGCTACGTAAAAACAAAATTAAAATATCGTAGGCAGTGAGTATATCACGCCGGACTTTGGCTGAAGCTCCATTTGCTGTGTAAGGCTGTGGAAAGTTTACCGTTTGCTACAGGGAGGGGGATAATGAGTATTATGTTGGTGTGTCTTGACCTTGAAGCCGAACGCAGGTGTGTCTGTGGCTGACAGATGGCTAGGAGGCATTTTCTCTAGTTAAGGGCAACTCTCAAAGTTTAGGCCAAAAATGACAGAGGCTCAGACTGTGACGTAAGGTGGGCGGTGCTGGGCGGGGGGGGTTAGTCTGTTGCACCAGATTCAGTCCAAAGCTTCTGGGAAAACCACACATTGACCCAATATAGATGGCAGTGCCTGTATGGAGTGTGGTTTCTTTCTTATGCTCAGAGGGTCTTCAACTGCTATCTTAGGTTTTCAATATTTATTCACCTTTAAAATTTCACATAATTTCTAACTCCAGAGCCGGCGCAAGGTGAGGGTTCAAGCCGCATGTCTTGATAAATCACTTTCCTCGCAGTGGGCTTTAGAGATTAAAATTATGTTTCACCTCTATCTTCTCTTCATACTGGTGTTTATTAATTAATCTGCACTCTACATCCTCTTAAGATGATTTGAGCTGATATTTCAGCATAAATGTCACATGGCAGTGTTTTTCAAAGCTCATCTAACATGGTATTCCTCAACACCATAACGAGGGTACTGTATTAGTCAAGATAGACAGCATACTCTCTGCACCTACGACTTTGATCTTTCTCCAAAATTCAGTTTTCTTTATACGCCTGTTCTGTATACTGTTATACCCAGCAGCTGCATAATGAATCTTTCCTCTCGTAAACATGTCAAATCGTTTTGTTGCTCACTGGGTTTTTTTTTATTATCAAAATCTAAACCAGTGAAATATGCTGAAACATCAAACACACCAAAGCTAACTGTATTGCATGTCCAGTGAAGGATTGATCTGCACATTAAATCAGCAGGACACATTTTTGCCAGGCTTATATTATAAGTAACTGATTTATGTTTCTCTTTTTTGTCTCTCAGATTTTTTACATGATATTTAACTAATCGACTACTTGCAAGTTGTGATTCAAGCTTTGACAATAACTCAGTAATCATCAATGGTACTTGATACCATGAATGTGTAGGTACAACACTTAAAAAGTGTGCCTGTGGCTTAAACCTATATTTAATGCTGCCTATCCTAGATCTGAAACATTTTCCATGAGATCAGGTTATTCTCATTCTTTTATCGGGTTCCTGGTATAACACCATCTGTGTCCAAACGAGAAGGCTGCTTGTCTTATTGTTCCACACCCTGCCCAAAGTCAAGGCAAACTTTTGCAAAAAAGCTATCAGGTCCTGGCCGCCATGCCCACCTGACCCTCCCTTCTCCTCCCTTGCATGACTCTAACAAGCCACGCCTATTGCGCATTTGTCTTGCCTCCCGTTCCTCAAACTCATGTTCATCACTCCCAGCTGCCTCTCCTTAGCTCCCCGTTAGTCTCGTTTATACCTGCTTCCCAGTTCCGTGTCCAGTCCAGTCATTGACATCAGTCCCTCGTTTTGCCTGTGCCCCTCCTCGTTCCTTCCTTCCATTTTGATCCCTCGCAATCTTATTTATTTCCAGTCCATGTTCTGTGAGTTTAATAAAACCCGCTTTTGTTTCACCATGCCTGCCCCCAAGTCCTTCGTCTCTCATGTCATGACCCTGGCATGTTAAATAGATGACAATCTGGGTCATATGGCTTAATTGTTTAAAGCAGCGAAGCTCAGAAACTGCAAGGTGTAACAAATGCTGTCATTTCCATCTCATTGTGTAGCGTCACTGAGCAGTCTGATAGCTTAATGCTATTCTGCTGTCTGTATTTGTCATAATCTGAATGAATGAATGAATGAATGAATGTTACATTTATGTAGCACTTTTCAAGACACATGTGAGCTTTACAGAACCAATGGGGAGCCACTTCACCCATAAAGATGATACAGCGGCAGCCGTTCTGTGCCAGTACGCTCACCACACAGTAGCTAAGGTGGTGAAGGGGCTGGAGGGAATTCACCAGTTAGATATAGGGGATGATTAGGGGGCCAGATTCAAAAAGGCCACAGTGGGCAATTTTATCCAGGGCATCGGGGTACCACCCCTACTGTTCCAAAAGATGCCCAGGGATCTTTTATGACCTCAGAGAGTCATGACCTTGCATGGTTTTATGTCTCATCTGATGGACTGCGCCATGTTTACAGCATAGTGTCCCCATTACTGCACTGGGGCACTGTGATCCACACTGACCACAGGACAGGCTCTCTGGTTGGCCACACCAGCACCTCTTGATACAAGACCCAAAAAAGAAAGATAAATGTCACTTAATGTGCAACAAATGTCAGTTATGTTGTTCTTGAAACCAAAAAGTGGGTCATTTTATGTTAGAAAATATTATTTCTTTTTTATATAGTCTTTTGTTATATTTAACTATGGCCCTTTAAAAGCAGACAGAAGAGCGCCCACATGTAAGCTAAGTTCCGCAAATTGCCTGCTCCAAAGTGTCACTCTTACCACGATTGAAGACTTTTTTCGTTGTAAATGAATAAAATAAATAAATGATGTAGGTAAACTGTTGACAAATCATCCTGAGTTTTGTTGCTTTGCTGATGCATAATGCAAAGCTACTCGCAGTTTTTGGCGGGATATTATACTGAACAGTGTAGGTTCTGTACATTTTTCAGGGACAGTGCAGCACAGCCGTTCTGTTGCGTCCTGTTCTGCTCTGTTCCGTTCTGTTTCCTTAATAATTGCGCCGCCAGCTATCCTTGAATTAAAGGGGAAGTGAGGGTCCATTGTGGAGTAAGTAGAGCTGAACATCTAATTTGTTACCCAGCTCCTCTCCTTAAGTGGTCCTTTGGCTTACATGTTCAGGTTGGTCCGGTCTGCTGGCCAGGATCAATGACAGCAAATGTCAGGTGCTTAAAAACTTACACGTAATAACAATGACCAGTGTAGACAGACGCTGGGTTTTAATTCACCCGCATACAGGTTGCCAGCCTGTGGACAAGTTCCGCCAAGCTTCCCAGTCACATTCCTAAAGCCCTTAAATTGCACAGGCACCAGTGGTGTCGTGGACCGATTTCTCCTACCGTGTTTTCACAGAGAATGCTGATGAAGGAAACAGCATCGGTCGTATATAGATACCTTGATATGCTTTTGCGGCTGTGACCTTGGAGAATTTGGTTTACCCAGTACAAGCTACTGAAAGGCAGGTAAAATTACAAAAAAAAAATGTAGCGTTATAAAGTATGTTACTGGTTTTGTTTAATCTTATAATATCGGGATATTTGCAAATGCTTTGCAGGGCCACTGTTTCATCCATCCTAATCAAAGACTCGGATACTCAGGTGAAAGATACCCTAGTTATGATAATGATTTCCAGCGCAGAACTCCCTAAAATCGCGTCTGGATACCGATACTTGGGCATGCCATTGAAAGACGCATTCTCGACATGTATATAGGCTAATATCTCTGCGAACTAATAATTTAATAGGAAACCTGCAAAAGAGTCTTAACAGCATTTATCTAGATCAACACTGAATGAGCGCGTTTCCAAAGGAAATCACCTGCTTATTCTTAAAAGAAAATGTGCCACATCAGAATGTGCACCCATTTGAATCTCTGCAACCATTTGACAGAATTTGTTTATAAGCAATATTTTAAAATGACATCTTCATTAATTCGTAGCTGATTATGAAATGTATGGTAATAACCATAACGAGCATGCAGACTTTGAATTGCATTAAAATGGACGCGTTAATACTAACGTGACATATTACATATTATAAAATAACCAAAAGGTATTAATGCCTAATACATATTACGATCGTTCAAAGTCCGACCTTTTTCAGAGATGATTCAATGGTATAAAATGCCAATGACGAAACGATAACAAAAATCAGACGTGGCATTCATAACTATAACATTACATGCTTCATTCGGTTAATACAGAAAAGTGTTCACTTACTTGCTCCCACCAAAAATATGTCACAACCAAAGAGCAGCAACACAACGGAGTATACAAAAACGAACATGTTTTGCTGAAAAAAGTATTTTCTTCCCCAAATAAAATGTCCGAATTAAGTACTCAAAGTATGTGAAGTATCCACCTGTTCTTAACTTTGCTGTTTACAACATTGCGAGTTTTAAAATGTGGGTATTTTTCCCAAAATTATTACAGCGCCACGGGATCTGATGTCGATCATTAACATATTTAATTCAATTATTAAATTACACACATAAAAACTTCTCTTTGAACTTCAGGTGCTGTATATTGCGAGATAAATATTATTCACAAACATTTTCTCCTGGTAGCCCGCAATCATGGCAACTGGATGTCTCCCGTTAGGAACTGCTTCAGTTTTCCACCGGTTATTCCCAAAGCCTCTTGCTTTATGTTATATTTCAGCGTCTTGATACATTTTGTGTGCCATCCATGCCGGGCTATTGCAGAGCTTTAATGCAACGCTGCAGGTCTCCTTCCCTTTTTCACCCTGAATGGCGACATTCTCCCATCAAAACTGAAGACGACGCTGCTGGGTGAATACTTGTGGCATTTCCAAGTTTGGCATGAAACCACGACAGGCTGCCGTCACACATAGACACATTCAGTCACTTTCTCTCTCTCTCATACACACACACATTAACGCGATCCCCGGTTAAACGGCACAGACGGGGCTTCAGCACCACGGTCAGCGCCACACATGGCAGGAGCTCCGGTGCGCTCAGTGTCGCCACTGGCTTTTATTCATCCATCCATCCATTCATTCAGTCATGTATATTATAACATTCTGCGGCGGTAAAATGTTAAGACGCACCTCGACGTCTACACTTGGCTTATTTTTGGCGTTATCCCAGGTTACTGTGGGTATTTTATTCATTTTCCGTCATTCGGTCTGTGTGATCTTGCCATCGATGCTACCGTCTGTTTTCATATACAGAACTGCTTTTTAAGCACAATTTATTATAAGAACATAACGCATTTCCCCCGACGTTCTTCTTCGAAGGCGATGACGAGATTTTAACATTAAAGCCAAGTAAACATTCGGCACAGTTAGCACGCTGTTGATTTTGCGCCTGTTATATTAACATTGAATTTCACGTCCATTATATCAAATGTTCTGTATGGAGTATTAATATTATTTTCACGTTGTCCTTTTAAAAACGTGATGGCCGCGTGGCATCTAAAGCAAGCTTTTAGCCAGGTTTAGCCAGAACGATGCAGCAGGGGTCGACTTCGTAGCAGTTACATTTCAAGCCGATTTATACGTTCGTTTAACATTTCACCGAAGTAAAATATATTTCATCCATGGCTGCGTGCATAATAGTCACCAACACAAACAAACAAGAAAAAAAAATCAATAAATATAACAACAACGAAAATTAGATCAATACTTAATTGGCAGTGAATTAATATGGGTTAGCAAGCCGTCACATCTAAGTTTTTAAATTACATCTAGAAGGATAAAAACTATATTAAGAGTAATCAATTAGGTATAATTTATGAAATATTTTCTCTTGCCTTCTCACAGCAGGCAAGTGAAGGCATTCTCCGAAAAATGCCATGACTGGAATTATTATAAAGGGAATAATGGAATTCGGGAATGCCCAAGCATGACCACAGGAGCCTATTATAGGAGCCTATTTTTAGACGGAGTGCTCGGAGGACTGAACAGCGCCCTCTATCTCCTCTTGGGCATAGCGAGACACATAAGACATCAGAGACTGTGAGGAAACGCATTTTTCACAAATGTGAAGATGTCGCATTAATTAATGGTATCCCCAACAAAAAAAAATTCTCCCAGGTCAAGTTAAATTGTCAGTTTCCCTGTTCAAAGACAAAATGAACTGCGAGTCCGTATATCGAGAAATCGTTTAATTACGGTGTAGTTAAAAACATCACACGAAAGGAGTTACGTTTATCGGCATTTTAGGACCAAAGTCTGCAACGGTGGTGGTAAATGCCCGCAAGATTTAAGCTCACTTTTCCTGTTCCTCAAGATTTAAAGAACTACGTTTGATAAATGCTCTTGTTGCCAAATTCCATTTAGAGGACGCATTGAGAGGTGTGCTGGGAAATGCATTTTAAATAGGGGAAAAATAGAGCTAGTTCATTTTACGCTGGTTACCGAGGACAGAAAAACAAAACAGTTAAAGTTATATACAAGTACAAACGTAAAGGACATCAGAGCTGTTACAGAGCAAAACGGATACGGTTTAGTCAGAAGCAGAACGGTATGTTACAATACCCGATTCCCAAAGGCAATGGAAACACGGTGGTAATGCCAGATTACTTCAGTAAGTTAACAGTACGCTAATTTCAGTACCATCGGATATTTAGAGGTGCTAGTACTCTGAACAGAAAAAGGAGGCGATGGTACTGTGTACTTGTGAGTAGCCTACTGGCCTACATTAAGTCCTGACTACAGCACATGTTTTCATCCACCCATCAATCCATCAACCCAAGTACTAGAACCGCTTATCCAATGCAGGGTCAAGGGACCTCGGAGGATTGACATGCGGGACCATAACAGGGCAATTATGAGTCCATGAACAATGCATGACTTTAACATCTGGGAAGTGAAGCCACACAAACAAAGCATCCAATAATAATCCAATATATGTACAATTCTAAATAAAACAATTTAAAAATAATTATAGGCCAGCCAATTATTCTTCCTCTGCTGTTCTTCTTTTACATGTGTGCAAATACTTCTTATGCACCATGAAATTAAGGATCTGCACACTATCAAACATGTCAGCCTAGCTGCAGTGTAAACAGTGGGTGGGGGATTAAAGAAACTGCACAATTTGGTGAAAATTGTACAGTTTCAGTGAGCCATCAAAAACGATGGGGTCTCCTTAAATTTCAACAGTCGTGCGATGCACAGTGCTAAAGAACCTGTGCCTCACCGAGAAACTTAACACCTTTGCCGCTCCAGGTACTTTTGATTAACTGTTAATTAAAAAATCGATTATAGTGCGGGAAACACCAAATGGATCAGCAGCGTAAATGTCACTCATGATTTGCAACAAAGACCAAATAAAAACAGCAATAAAATAAAAAATAAAACTTGCTGTCAATGAGACAGGGACGAAGAGGACAAAGGTATATGATATGGGGATTTCTGCATAATATTTATGGATTGTTTTGCTGTGATATTTTAAAAATGTGTCATTTAAATGAGCTTTGTCATACTTATTTAGGACTGTCTGCAGATTAGAAATGTACATTTGCCACACTGACCCTACAAAAGTTTGTGTGTATTATGGGGAAAGAAAGTTCCCAAAATGCCAGATATGTAGCGTTTTCTTCAACTGACACATGAACACAACCAGATCACATTGATTAGAACATGAATCACAGTTCATCAGGGTACAGGCTTCTCCTTTCGGCAAGTTCTTGGGTATGACAGGAGGTTATAGGACAGGAAGTCTTTCAGTGGATAAGAAAGGGAACAAAAGTGACTCCGGAAAGAAAGTTGGAAGGAGTTACATGCATAAGAACTGGCTTCAAAACCACACTCAGATGTGCAGGAGCTGAAGCATGACAAAGCACGCTAATCTTCTGAGAGAATAAGGGACGGGCCTGAGTGGGGCATGGATACCCTGGCAGATTTAGGGGCCCTCGAATATGTAAAATTATATAATGTAAGGAGACGGGGGGGGGCAAGGTGACATTTTGTCAGGAGGCCCTGAATGTCTTAGCTATTCCTCTGGAGTCAGGTGGAAATGTTAACAACAATACCTGGTTAGGTGTCTCTCCGTCATGTGACAGCCACACCCCCTCCACTCAGTAGCCTACCTAATAGGATGGTACCTGTCATCTATTTCAATATTGTTTATTAAAATGTCTAAATGCCGCAGATAATTGTGTTTTGTTTTGGAGGAAGCAAGCAAGGGTGTAATAAAACAAGGACACACTAGTACTTAAAAAGAAAATTTATTAATACATAGGAGATATTATTTTTTAAGGTCAGAATGAAATTCAGGGACAGGCGCCAAGGCTACTTTTTATCACAGCCGAAGCTCATGGCTGTTAGCATTAGCCAGATGTCGTTTGGGTCGCAGGTATTGCATGAATGACGGCACCATCTCCAGGCCAAATGTCCATTACTAAATTACCCAGACACAGTGCACCAATCCACCCTGCTACTGCTAAACAGGAATACTACATTTGTCCAGAATATATCAGCAGGCTGTTTTTGGGTACATAAAAAAGTTATTTAATTTTCGGGTTCAAAGCTTCCCTTAAGTATATTTAACAGCTGCTCTGATTCTTTTTAATGGGACTGAAAATAGATGTATCTTCCCCCCTTCTGATTGTTTGTGTAATCCAGGAAAATTTGTCAAGTAAAAAAAAAAAAGCTGTAGCCCAAGTTTGACAGCTACTGAGTTGCATAATTGAAAAGTTTTACCAGATCGCTGAAACATGCTGGAAGATTCTGAAGTATTTGAGAGGCTTTTAAACTTTGTGGAGTTTGTTGCGTACACACCCAACCTCTTCACGTTAGATCATCAAATTATCTGGATCCATTTGTGCAGGGCTGGTGAACAGCTTATAGCTAATACTGTTATCAACAATCAGGATTCTACAGCTCCATCTGTCACACCCTGTCCATCTGACTGTTCTGTTACTCTCCTGTTAGCGGGACCCTAACAAGCCATGCCCGTCCATCTTTTCATTTACCTCTCTGTCCTGCCCTTGTGTTACTCACTCCAGCTGCCTCTCGATTGCTCCCTCGTTAGTCTGAAATAAAACAGCGAGTCTTGTTATTGACCTTGCTCCTTTGTGTTCCCTGATCCTACACTTGTTCCCATTTCATTTCAATATTTGTTCCTTACGTTTATTAAACCCCTATTTGTTTTGCCCCAAACCTGCTCCTGTGTCATTCATTTTGTCTCATACAATACCACCCTACATGATATAACATGTTTTTATCTAAGTTGTGTAATTGTGTCAAATGAAAATATTTACAATCTTCACTTATAAGTATCATTATTACAATCCAACCAACTTGTTGTCCCATAAAGCAGGGGTCCCCAGCTATTTTTTTGCTGAGGGCCAAATTCCATCAGCAACATAACGCCAAGGTCCACTGCATTACGGTCCAATTGTGCAGCAGAGTACGCCAGTTGGTGATCACTGCGGTAAAGGATCTGCAGGGCGGCTCCTGGAGCCAATCCCAGGCAGAACAGGGCATGACGCTGGGGTGCAGCCTGGATGGGATGCCAGTTCATTACAGGGCACATACACTCCCACACTATGGGGAGTTCAGGGATGCCAACTCACTAAGCAAAATGTACTGTACTTGCAAAGTAACCAGAGTAAATCAGAGGAAACATGGGTGACCACCTAATCCATGTCAGGTAGGACACTTTGAGCAGCTTCAGGTTTTACAAACTACTTTAAAACTGAAAGGCTCCTGTGCTTGGCTAAATAGTTCAGATCTTCTTATGCTTTTACTGGTTTGTTTCCCTGATTGAAAGACTCATCATGCTGTCTTACATTAGCATTAGTGACACATGTATGATTACAGGAGACTGACTAATAAACACACAGCAAGAACTCAGTGTTAAAGTGAAATCCAGGTCTTTTTAATTGAAACGGCAGTTTACAAGCCCTGTCCTACCTCATAGTGTCCCCTCTGGCATGGATTAGGTGGGTGGGCAAACTTTTCCGCAAAGGGCCGGTGTGTATGCAGGATTTTAGGATAACCTTTAGGTCAGCTGTTCAAACCCAGGTGTGAAGACTCTT